GACTTGCCACCATTTGACTGGTATTCCGAATTCAGAAATAGCTTTTCATTCCCTATACTAATAGATTGTTCACTAATATTTCCATACTAAAATAATTCAGAATCTGCAAAACATGGACACTGATAACAGATGTTTCAGTTTGTCCTCTGCATAAATGCAGATTTATCAGATTCTGAAGAGAGAATACTTTAAATTCATGTTTAACGTCGCTTGTTAACTTTCAATATATTTCCGGAAAGTAGATCATTTCTTAATCCGTACACTCTAACATCGCACTCAAATCACACGTTGTACGCATGGTCCTCAATAAAGATGTTCAGCTCACTTTCTCTACTAGTTGTTAGTATAGTATGCGGTATAAACAAGAGGACAGAGAAATATATTGAAGATATATATCTGTCACTACATATTCATGTATGACTTGATCAATACACCCCTATCAATCAAATTCATTTCATTGGACTTCAACTGCTCAAGTGTGATTTTAATTGGTCGTTGGTGGCCTTGAAAATAGTGGTCAGAAAACCATGTGACAGGACGGTGAGGCCGATACGATTGGATAAACAATAAAAGCATGAGAAAAGTTACGTTGTGTAAGCTGTAGGTCGTGCTAACGTTTTGTCGGTATAATTTCTCCCTTCTGTTTTCGTTGCCTGGGTTTATCAGCCATGAAATGCCCTTCATGCAATAAGGAGGTCTACTTTGGTAGGTTTAATAGTATGCAATTATATTAAATAGCTGAGCGGGTCAGTTCACTTGGAAAAGACTGGCATCGTCCGTGTTTGAAATGCGAAAAGTGCAAAAAAACGCTGACTGCGGGTTCCCACTGTGAAGTAAGTGTCTTTGTTTACCGTATTGTTTTCATGAATAAGTTGGCTTAAAATCATTATAATATTGTTCAAACGGGAGATACGTCTGAGAGTATCCATCACTTCATACTGTCTAGTTTTGCATCTCATTAAATAATTATCTTTCTTGTCAACATGATTACTTCAATTTATCTTATTTTCACTTCGTATTTGATTCAGCTTCGCTTCGCGTCGATTCACTCTCGACCTAATATAACATTAGTATGACTACTTGTTTGTATTTGGCAAATATTTGGTCTAATTTATTTCCTGTGCTTTTATTTAAACTGACTTGTTAGTTATTTGTTTTCTGGAAAAAGTGACTTTCACTAAGTCGCAAGGTTGTCATAAATCCGATTGTTTACTCATTGGATTATTACGAATAAGGTATTATTGTGAGCAATCTATTGGAAGGTCAATTTATTTGAAATTCTCAAGTCAAATCGTTCTAGCAATACTTGAAAGATGACGGGTAGGATTTTTGTTTCCTCATTTACTTTATACTGATTCGATGGAGTATTTACTGAAAGACACGAAAAATAGAATGATAAAGAAGTACGGCACAACCGCGTAAGTCTTATTAATGCCTATAAGCAATCTGTGAAAATGTGTTATCTTGAATATTATCCTCACTGATTAGGATCTCCTAGTGGGTTCTGTGGTGTGTTCTTTGTCACATTCTTTAGTAGTGTTAGTTTTGGTCATTACATTCACCGAAACGGTAGTGTGAACTGGTCTTTTTGAAATAGTAAACGGTGTATCAGTGTGATAGCTTTGGTTTCATATTGTTGGTTTGAAGCCGATGAGATATCACTATCCACGTAGCATTTTACAACATATCAATTCATTCTTTTCAACAGAAAAGTGTTGGTCAATGAACTTTCTCAGTGTTTTGTTTAGTGAGACATGATAAAAATTAAAAGGTTAAGTATATTGTTCGAATGTTGTGGTTGTGTATAATAAATGTAAGTTTTATTATGGAGTTGATATAAACTAAGGAAATAATAGAGTGGCTTTTTGCAACTGCTAATCAATATGATATTTATTTATATTTCAGCACGATGGTAAACCCTATTGTCAGATTCCATGTTACCAAGCCCTGTTTGGACCCAAAGGTGAGTGATCATCAAGCAATCAGTTCCGTTTGTTAATAAGATGATTTGAAAGCTTGACAGGTGCTAGAATGTGTAGCATTCAATTTGGTTGCAAATGCGTTTAGTACGAACTTCCACTTGCAGTATTAAGTTGTGTATCACTGAAATATTCAGAATGAGGTATAAGCTAGTGAATATTGTGTTGTTACGTCCTTCATCTGTTTGCCCCGAACATACAGGAGAGGAATTTCCTCGATCTAGGTTAAGGCTTTGACACGGTAGGCTAACTGGTTCAACCTTCAGGCTAGAATTGCGTGAGTCCGAATCGAGATATATGAATAAATATATTACTAACACGATCACAACGTACAAACAATCAGAAAAATACAATTATATTCAAACTAAGCATTAGGGTAGAAAAGTAGAGTGCAAATTGTTAAGTATAAATTACAATAGCTTTGGAATAGAAAAAGGTATGGCAGTGTATTATGCATCAAACGGAAGCTTATGCTTTATGAAATAATCCAGGAACTAAACGAAATGTTAGTATTTTACAGACTTAGAATTAAGTTTAATAATGTCCTCAAGATTAGCTCCCTTTCTTCGTCATAGCTTATATATCTCTCTATTCAAATAATGTGTAGTCTGACTAAATTGTGTGTTATTGAGAAGTTATAGTATTGTATGTGCTCATGAAAACGTCTGTCGTCCTGAGTATATATGAAGTAAATTAGGTACTTTAAGACGACAATAACAAGATTAACTACAGGCAGGTCCCCAGTATTGCAAGATAGTAGATAGGAGGGCTGTGTATACTGCCTTCAACTTGCAAAAGTATTTTCTTAAGTGGAGTGAAATATCGGTCCTGATTTTGTCTATTTAAAAAGATTGTATAGGAAAGTCACTGTCAAAAATTAATATTCATCTACTATATTGGCACATTTTGTTTTCAGGTTACGGATCAGTGGCCAGCAGTCACATCTACAAATAGATAACAAATTTGTTATTTCAAGTTTTGTTTATACATTCTACTTGACTACTTTTGATGTCTCTTATTCAGACAATTCCAATAGATCGCTCCTTCAAGTACTGTTAAATTACTTGATTTCGATGTTTTAACTTATGAAATAAACTCGCTGCTTCAAATTTGTTTTACTTTTCCCTCTCAGTTCTAAGTCCGTAATTGACGGTGAGTATTGGTCAATTCGATCACATCGTTGTATTAAGGTATATTATTACTATTATTTGGATACAGATGATTGGCACAACGCGGAACCAAATACGTATGCGCAACAAAGAGGGGAAACATATTTGAAGACGGAAAGAACTGTATTCATTCTTCAGTTTCCTTGTATAGCGAGACACTGGATTGCAGTACGATATACATGTAAGAACTTGATTTATTACCCTTAAGGAGACCAGACAAGTTAGCTGGACGAAAGGTTGGAATTAGTTAAATCTCAATCGCTGAGAATATTTCAAATATATTAACTTCTCTATATTCGGCGCTCAATTACTGTCAAACTATTCGTTCAAATCTTGACGAATATTCGTATAAACACGTAAGATGGTTCATTGCGAAAAACAGCAGTGAATTTAAGAAATCATAATAATCTGTTCAAGTTTACCAACTCTTTTCTCCTAAAAACACATACAATGGGCAACTTACATTGCTGCAATTTACCTCTTACAAACAAACCCGCAAGAATCCATACAAATAAGTAAAACATATGAGTCCGAAAGTTGATACGGCCACCTTTTACCTTGGACTTTTGCTAAATTTAAGCTTACACTAACGTTTTTCATTCTCATTCTCATATGTACAGGATATATCTCAATAACTAACCCAATCAACGATACTCAGAAAACATCTTATTACATTTAAGGGAAAAAGTTGATCTAAATACACATACATATTGTTTATTGACTTGCCACCATTTGACTGGTATTCCGAATTCAGAAATAGCTTTTCATTCCCTATACTAATAGATTGTTCACTAATATTTCCATACTAAAATAATTCAGAATCTGCAAAACATGGACACTGATAACAGATGTTTCAGTTTGTCCTCTGCATAAATGCAGATTTATCAGATTCTGAAGAGAGAATACTTTAAATTCATGTTTAACGTCGCTTGTTAACTTTCAATATATTTCCGGAAAGTAGATCATTTCTTAATCCGTACACTCTAACATCGCACTCAAATCACACGTTGTACGCATGGTCCTCAATAAAGATGTTCAGCTCACTTTCTCTACTAGTTGTTAGTATAGTATGCGGTATAAACAAGAGGACAGAGAAATATATTGAAGATATATATCTGTCACTACATATTCATGTATGACTTGATCAATACACCCCTATCAATCAAATTCATTTCATTGGACTTCAACTGCTCAAGTGTGATTTTAATTGGTCGTTGGTGGCCTTGAAAATAGTGGTCAGAAAACCATGTGACAGGACGGTGAGGCCGATACGATTGGATAAACAATAAAAGCATGAGAAAAGTTACGTTGTGTAAGCTGTAGGTCGTGCGTGCGTTTTCTAGCAACTAGGAAATTAGAATGCATTTCACTGGGTACACTTACAAACTTGTGATCTGTAATTCGGCTATCCTTTCGCTGACGATTTGTTGGTAAGAGGCGCTTGTGCATATTTCCAACTTGTTTTTGATCTTCGAGTTGACTTTAATAATCAAGCAAATAGATTAAAATAAAATCTCTAAGGCGGGACTTATCAAAACATCGTCCGCTAACTATTTATTCACTCGCTGACTACCCCTCGTTTTTGAAATCAAAACATTTCCTTACCAGTTTGATGTCTTAATACAACGATGTAAACGAATCGAACACTGCTCACCGTCAATTACGGACTTAGAACTGAGAGGGAAAAGTAAAACAAATTTGAAGCAGCGAGTTTATTTCATAAGTTAAAACATCGAAATCAAGTAATTTAACAGTACTTGAAGGAGCGATCTATTGGAATTGTCTGAATAAGAGACATCAAAAGTAGTCAAGTAGAATGTATAAACAAAACTTGAAATAACAAATTTGTTATCTATTTGTAGATGTGACTGCTGGCCACTGATCCGTAACCTGAAAACAAAATGTGCCAATATAGTAGATGAATATTAATTTTTGACAGTGACTTTCCTATACAATCTTTTTAAATAGACAAAATCAGGACCGATATTTCACTCCACTTAAGAAAATACTTTTGCAAGTTGAAGGCAGTATACACAGCCCTCCTATCTACTATCTTGCAATACTGGGGACCTGCCTGTAGTTAATCTTGTTATTGTCGTCTTAAAGTACCTAATTTACTTCATATATACTCAGGACGACAGTCGTTTTCATGAGCACATACAATACTATAACTTCTCAATAACACACAATTTAGTCAGACTACACATTATTTGAATAGAGAGATATATAAGCTATGACGAAGAAAGGGAGCTAATCTTGAGGACATTATTAAACTTAATTCTAAGTCTGTAAAATACTAACATTTCGTTTAGTTCCTGGATTATTTCATAAAGCATAAGCTTCCGTTTGATGCATAATACACTGCCATACCTTTTTCTATTCCAAAGCTATTGTAATTTATACTTAACAATTTGCACTCTACTTTTCTACCCTAATGCTTAGTTTGAATATAATTGTATTTTTCTGATTGTTTGTACGTTGTGATCGTGTTAGTAATATATTTATTCATATATCTCGATTCGGACTCACGCAATTCTAGCCTGAAGGTTGAACCAGTTAGCCTACCGTGTCAAAGCCTTAACCTAGATCGAGGAAATTCCTCTCCTGTATGTTCGGGGCAAACAGATGAAGGACGTAACAACACAATATTCACTAGCTTATACCTCATTCTGAATATTTCAGTGATACACAACTTAATACTGCAAGTGGAAGTTCGTACTAAACGCATTTGCAACCAAATTGAATGCTACACATTCTAGCACCTGTCAAGCTTTCAAATCATCTTATTAACAAACGGAACTGATTGCTTGATGATCACTCACCTTTGGGTCCAAACAGGGCTTGGTAACATGGAATCTGACAATAGGGTTTACCATCGTGCTGAAATATAAATAAATATCATATTGATTAGCAGTTGCAAAAAGCCACTCTATTATTTCCTTAGTTTATATCAACTCCATAATAAAACTTACATTTATTATACACAACCACAACATTCGAACAATATACTTAACCTTTTAATTTTTATCATGTCTCACTAAACAAAACACTGAGAAAGTTCATTGACCAACACTTTTCTGTTGAAAAGAATGAATTGATATGTTGTAAAATGCTACGTGGATAGTGATATCTCATCGGCTTCAAACCAACAATATGAAACCAAAGCTATCACACTGATACACCGTTTACTATTTCAAAAAGACCAGTTCACACTACCGTTTCGGTGAATGTAATGACCAAAACTAACACTACTAAAGAATGTGACAAAGAACACACCACAGAACCCACTAGGAGATCCTAATCAGTGAGGATAATATTCAAGATAACACATTTTCACAGATTGCTTATAGGCATTAATAAGACTTACGCGGTTGTGCCGTACTTCTTTATCATTCTATTTTTCGTGTCTTTCAGTAAATACTCCATCGAATCAGTATAAAGTAAATGAGGAAACAAAAATCCTACCCGTCATCTTTCAAGTATTGCTAGAACGATTTGACTTGAGAATTTCAAATAAATTGACCTTCCAATAGATTGCTCACAATAATACCTTATTCGTAATAATCCAATGAGTAAACAATCGGATTTATGACAACCTTGCGACTTAGTGAAAGTCACTTTTTCCAGAAAACAAATAACTAACAAGTCAGTTTAAATAAAAGCACAGGAAATAAATTAGACCAAATATTTGCCAAATACAAACAAGTAGTCATACTAATGTTATATTAGGTCGAGAGTGAATCGACGCGAAGCGAAGCTGAATCAAATACGAAGTGAAAATAAGATAAATTGAAGTAATCATGTTGACAAGAAAGATAATTATTTAATGAGATGCAAAACTAGACAGTATGAAGTGATGGATACTCTCAGACGTATCTCCCGTTTGAACAATATTATAATGATTTTAAGCCAACTTATTCATGAAAACAATACGGTAAACAAAGACACTTACTTCACAGTGGGAACCCGCAGTCAGCGTTTTTTTGCACTTTTCGCATTTCAAACACGGACGATGCCAGTCTTTTCCAAGTGAACTGACCCGCTCAGCTATTTAATATAATTGCATACTATTAAACCTACCAAAGTAGACCTCCTTATTGCATGAAGGGCATTTCATGGCTGATAAACCCAGGCAACGAAAACAGAAGGGAGAAATTATACCGACAAAACGTTAGCACGACCTACAGCTTACACAACGTAACTTTTCTCATGCTTTTATTGTTTATCCAATCGTATCGGCCTCACCGTCCTGTCACATGGTTTTCTGACCACTATTTTCAAGGCCACCAACGACCAATTAAAATCACACTTGAGCAGTTGAAGTCCAATGAAATGAATTTGATTGATAGGGGTGTATTGATCAAGTCATACATGAATATGTAGTGACAGATATATATCTTCAATATATTTCTCTGTCCTCTTGTTTATACCGCATACTATACTAACAACTAGTAGAGAAAGTGAGCTGAACATCTTTATTGAGGACCATGCGTACAACGTGTGATTTGAGTGCGATGTTAGAGTGTACGGATTAAGAAATGATCTACTTTCCGGAAATATATTGAAAGTTAACAAGCGACGTTAAACATGAATTTAAAGTATTCTCTCTTCAGAATCTGATAAATCTGCATTTATGCAGAGGACAAACTGAAACATCTGTTATCAGTGTCCATGTTTTGCAGATTCTGAATTATTTTAGTATGGAAATATTAGTGAACAATCTATTAGTATAGGGAATGAAAAGCTATTTCTGAATTCGGAATACCAGTCAAATGGTGGCAAGTCAATAAACAATATGTATGTGTATTTAGATCAACTTTTTCCCTTAAATGTAATAAGATGTTTTCTGAGTATCGTTGATTGGGTTAGTTATTGAGATATATCCTGTACATATGAGAATGAGAATGAAAAACGTTAGTGTAAGCTTAAATTTAGCAAAAGTCCAAGGTAAAAGGTGGCCGTATCAACTTTCGGACTCATATGTTTTACTTATTTGTATGGATTCTTGCGGGTTTGTTTGTAAGAGGTAAATTGCAGCAATGTAAGTTGCCCATTGTATGTGTTTTTAGGAGAAAAGAGTTGGTAAACTTGAACAGATTATTATGATTTCTGAATTTGAAAGAACTGTTTCACGTTACCCAGGAACGGAATTAACGGAAGACACTAATGAAGTTGTATTTGTAAAAATCTCAGTGACTGGAATTAAAAGAAATCCCATATTATGTTCGGCAGTCTGATCCAAGCTTCATTTCCTTTGAAGAAGCTTGAAGTGTATTAACTCATTAAGAGTAAATTATTTTGGAGAAAATAGGGGCATTTAAATATCAAACAAACTGGACCGAATGCTGTTGATATACACATTCTTTTTCATGTGGGAATGTCGCCTTCTGTTCATTTGGCAACTAGATCTAATAAAATTTAGATTTTATTTTCTCGGTTGATATCTTTTATTGCTACCACTTTAGGATGCAAGAACTCGATGAGGACCTCTATTAACAAGTCTTACTGCTGTTCCATTAGTCCTTTTCAACTGTTTTCATTGGTAAACTAACGGGTTTATGTTGTGTTTTTGCTATAACTTGTGGCCCTGTGCCCCCATCAATATATAACGTAATGATACCACCAATTAGAGAACAGCGACTTATCGACCAGACCAATGACGCGTAAACCCGTACGAGTGGTCTAAAATCCCTATCGGGTCGTCTCCCTACCTAGCAATGCCTGTTGAGTCCAAAACACCAATCTCAGCCTCTGACATATGAGTCATGTAGTTCAAACATACTGTGTTTATATACAAACCAAACAGACCACATCTCACCACAAAATAGAAAACAATATTTGTACAAGATCTAGACAAAAGTGGCTGTGAATGTGGGAGATTGTAATTAATAGACTGAGCATAACTCAAGAACAGTAAATCGCATAATAATAGTCTATGGGTCAAGACAAAGCTTATAATAGGAGGAAATTGAATATGTATAGTTTAGTTACATAACAATTATACAATAAAAATACATGCATCGTATTGGTTCGTAAATAGTTCTCAAAATCTACCACTTATAGTTCTCGTCGGGTTATAACAGTTTTAAGGAATTGATGGGTCTACCATCCCTTTTGACTCTCGATCTTTGTTCGCTTCTCAAGTGTAAAAGAGAGGCTAATTCCAAAGTTGTAGCACTTAGCATAATAGGAAGAGATTCCTACTTCACTGTTCCAGTGTCATGATGCATAGGTGTATCTGAACAATGTATGTGAATATTGAGGAATTATTTATCTTAGTTAATTTCGTTCTAGGTAATAGAACCCTTCTGAGTTTTATAGTTCCGATGTGAGAATTTCTACTCCTTACCTGAAGTTTACCTGTTTGATTTTATTCTATTTATGTTACGTCTCTCCAAATTTCTACTGATAATTTCTTTGAAAATTAGTTATCATCGATGATCGTTATTCAGTAAATCAAAGTGCATCATGGTCTACTAAAGATAACCTTTAGCACCTCTCAACTTGACTCACTGAAAAACACTTAAGTATTGTGAAATCATTTTATTTTACCAAATTTACTTAACTAAAACCATGTTGCATGGGACACATCCACTAAAAGATGTGTCACTCCATACCTGAATCTAATATTCAGACGAATTTGCCCATAAAATTATGGAGATGTTTATACATCAAATAAGACAATGAGACGAAATTTACTTATTTATTTATTCGAAACAAAAATTTTTTATGACCTTATTAACTCCATTGGAGTCTTCACTGCATCATGATGCATATATTCATCTTTAATCACCCTCGCATTGATAAGTATGTCAATATCTGTAATAACGTTGATTTTCAAATATTTTAAGTTGTAAGCAGCTGATGAGAACCTAACTAAATAAAATGAATTCATATTATTCTGCACTAATCTTCGTTCCTGCTCTGTTTAAGAGATTCTCTGTATTTGTTCACAGATTATGTATTCACTGGGAAGCCAGGTAAAAATATATACATACATGAGTATAGTTGAACTTTGAGATTTCTAGAATGAGGAATCAGTGATTATTACACTGCATACATTCTTGAATGGTAGTTTTTCTACTGTGAGAAAAGGAACTCCACTTGTCCCAAACTCCTTATCAACTCGTGTAAGAATTCCGTTAGTAGATGTGCTCAAAAGAAGATTGAATTAATTTACCCAAGCCCGGTTACTACAAAGGATATATACCTTTCAAACATTCCTTATTGCCTAATAATCATTGATCTTTTATTGATCTGTGTAGACGTCAAGAACGGTTACATTTTATGTGTTTGAAGTATAGGTGAGACTTATATAAAACAGAAGTTAGATGTGTGTTTGTTCATCATATCGTTATATTCATTTTCACCGACATGATGGTGGTGACTGGTTTAGAAATCTGAACTATTACTCCTAACTCGCTGTATTTTCACTATCATTTAACCCCGGATCATTGTGGTATAGAACGAAAAACACGCATCTTATGATAAGCGATTTTATTACAAAGTATATGGTATTAAAATCACAGAGATAAGTAGTAATTAAATAAATCTATTTCATGAGTCTTGAAAACGGTATCAATAATGAAAAATGATCGTACGTTTTCGAGATTTCAATGTCAGGCGTAAAAGTCATCAATATCTGGAACCGCACCATAGCCTGAAATGAAATCACAAGAAATTGTACAGAATCTGGTTTTATTTACAATTCTGTCTCATTTATAAACGAATTTCAAAACCAATTATTATCATTGAGTAATGATTTGGTAATTAAGCATTTGATATAAAATTAATATTGTTCAATAAGTTTATGTCCTAAAAAATAAACTATTTCAAAAAACTATCAACCAATTTCAAAGTCAGAATCTTCAATTTGAACGTCATAACAGCTCTGTTGTATAGAGTTGAAACTCGGAGAACTACTACAAGAACCATCAAATAATGAATGTATTTATAAACAATTGTCTACGTAAGATGCTCAACATCCATTGGCGCATACCATCCACAACAGCCTACTGTGTTAGAGGACAGAGCAGCTTCTAGCTGAGAACGAAATCAAAAAAGACTTATGAAGTGGATAGGACAAACATTACGGAAATCACCAAACTACATCACGAGGCAAGCCCTAAGTTGGTATCCTTCAGGGAATCAGAAAAGAGGAAGACCAAAGAACACATTACTTCGGGAAATAGAAGCAAACATGAAAAGGATGAATAGCAACTGGGAAGAACTGTAAAGGATTGCCCAGGACGGAGTTGAATGGAGAATGCTGGTGGGCAGTCTATGTTCCTCCAGTTGGAGTAACAGGCGTAAGTAAGAAGTTTATTTCCTCTCCATAAATTAATGCACAGTATGTGAATTCACAGTTATTTATTTGTTTGGTAAAACTATTGATGAGTAGTCGAATGACTCATGGTTTATTGGTTATGTTGAAGTTTACTTATCCATTCACTCATAAATTTTAGTCAGTTTTTTTGCAACGTAACCGCACCAAATGAGTTTTCATTTAGTATTCCAGCAAATTCTTTATTACACAAATGTCAGACTCAAGAATAAGCCTAATTAGTACTCAACAATCATAGTTATGTGTATTGATTCATCAGAATATTTTGGTCGCGCTCTAGAATATATCCTCATTCTAATACAACAGCAATTAAAATGAATTTGAAAGCTACTGTGGCATTAGTTTTTCAAAACACCTTTTTCTACTGGTTTATCTTTCAAAAAATCCCGATTCTTACAGAGATTGTTATGATAATTGTAGAATGATAAACGTTGCTTTTATTAGGAAAAGAAAGGTCATCAAACTACCAACAACTCACCTCTCGGTCCAAACAGCGTATTATAACAAGGTTCAGTGCAATATAGTTTTCCATCACGCTGAAATACAAAGATGATGTCGTCAGGATTATTAGTCTTTGGGATGGTTTGTTATCGTATGATACTGGTTACTACTGGTTTAGATTATGCTGTTGTTGAAATGTAAATAATTACTAAACAGTCTTAATAAATCATTCAAACATCTTTGTTTATTCATTTTGTAACTTAATCATCTTACTCTTAATCTAGCCAGTTACAATTAATAAAACTCTTGAACTCGGTCCTCTGTACCCTACTTTATACATGTATACAGTGTCTTTAGTTTTCTCCAGTTCATTAAGAAACGTAGTCGGAAACTTTCATCGAATCCAAACTATGTTACTAAACATCACCAATGGTATGCTTATGTTATTTTATTTCGTGTCGAGAACAAATACAGTATCCATGTTAATTAAAAAATAAGTTATTGAAAATCGTAAGTACATACTATGACTACGTAAAGTGAATCATAAAATTGGTTTGAATTCCATTAGCAAAATCAGACTACTCTTGAAATGAAACGGTCTATGTCGTTATAAGAAATCTAGCCAAAGCACTCAATCGCCAAATGAATGCAACAATAGCTAGTACAATGTGAGTAACTGATTCAAACACGCTTCATTTAAATATAATTCACCAAATAATACTTTAGATACAATTTCGTTAGTTAAAGCAAATATTTAATAATTCACTTACTTCTAAGCCACAACCGGGAAGCATGGTTTTACTACATCTGCTGCACTTTAAGCATTGGCGATGCCAGTCACAACCGAATGAGCTTACCCGCTCAGCTGTTTAAAGAATATTTAAAGTATTGTGCTCACCAAAGTAAACTTCTCTATCACATCCAGGACACCTCATAGTTTCAGATGGCAGATGCTTCTAAAATTAATCAAGAAAGCTATTGAACTGATTTCTATTTATGACAATTTACAGCTTGAACATTACTCCTGTTTGACGGTTTTATTACTTGTCTGAGGAACTGATTTGAATATTCTATCATATGTCCCAACACTTATTGTCATTTAGAGTACCAATTGCCAATAAACTTCTTGTCTGTATGGCATGGTAATCCAATAAGATAATCACAACTATCAATAAAAATTAGGAGGAGGGGTGGATAATTAGGTGCTTCTCAAATGGTTTGATTGAAATTCACATTAACTACTAAAGTATACCTCACGTGCTATAAATGGGTGGTATAGAAAATTGAGAAACATGAGAATAGGCATAATTCGTGTGAAAAAATCACAAGAACTACAACAAATGGCCCACTAGTTTACACATGTCAGTTGACCTGATGAAAAATGAAAATGTTCTGGATTATGTCGAATTTCAAAATAGATCCATGGTTCAAGAATGGGCTATGAAACCTGGTTAATTTTGACTTATTTCTATTTATTTCTGTTGAACCGATTTGTTAGGTCCATAATAAATTTGCTTTGTCTTTTGAATAAATGACTGACTGACGTTTCTCATCACAGAGAAGAGAAAAATGTTTGTTAGCTGAATAAAGGTGAGAATAAACTATGAGTCAACATCCAACAGGTATGGTTATAGCGGCTTGATTGTCTTCCCATCACATATTTTTGATAAGAGGTAATTAAGTTTATCGAAAGAAATAATAAATCCAAAATAACGTGATTGATATTATTCTCTTTTTAGTTAATTGAGCATACATCTGACATTACCTTACGAACACGAAGCATTAATTATTACTAACTGGCTAGAGTTTAGTGGAGTCATAAATAATGGGTTCAGTGTCTACGTAGACTAGTACATGAATTGTTTGTTGTAAGCTAACCTTGGATATATGATATACATGCTTATATCATCCCAGTAATTTCTAAGCTGTAAATGGGCTGATATTTTTATTTCTGAAAACCAAATAGTTGGTAAACGTTATTAGGACTTAACTAAGCCTATTTTTGTTCATTTACTAAATTTTATTCAAGTTTTAGGTTGGATTTGTAGAACAACTTACTATATGTTAGACTAAAACTCCTAATTTTCGTCTTTCAGTTATTAGTTAATGTTTTTAGGCCTTTCGGTACACCAACCATGTGACCTTTTCAATAAAGAACTTGATCTTCATTTCCATGGCGTTATGTTGGTCAGTGTTAATGAGCTTGAACTTGCGGTTAAAACTCCACATTGATTAGGTTTTTGCAATCAAACACCATACTTCTATTGTAGTTATGTAGTTTTCATCGTATGAAAAATCAAATCGTGCATATAGTTTAACCGGTCAAAATAATAGTCTATGATGAAGTCGGTAGGAGCATCAGGTATAATCTTGTGGATATCGTCTACCCTGTGTTTATGATCTGTCATTCCAGATGATGCTATAATATCTCACAATATTTCATCTAGCCAAAGTGTTTATCATCTATCACTAGACAACCGGCCACATTAACCACAAAAAATAACTTAGATGTACTGCCAAGAACCTATGATATCGCTAGTTTGTTCAAAAGTTACCTATTATTAAAACAGCAAATGAAAGTTACCAGTGTTCGGATCCCATGTTCTTTTTTAGTTTTGAAATCTAAATGACTCCCACTAACATATATCAACAATGCTAAATTCAAAATCTGCAAAATTATTTACAGACGAAGCTATGAAATACCAGGGATCAATTCACAAAGTAATATATTAGCCGATAACTTTATGGCTAGTCTAGATAACAGTAGGCTGAACTATGTAATAATACAAACTGACCTACTTCATAAGTCTCTTCAACAATGTAAACATTCAGTTTATGATACAGTGACAAACCTGATCTCTAATTAGATACTTCCACTGTAGGGTAGGCGTTCCAGTAGTGGGGACGTGAAGTGAACAATAATAATTGCTAGTCAAAACACAGTATTGCAGAAAGAACAGAATGTGTTCAAGTGACGAGCGAGTATTATCATAAATCAATATGTATTCTCTTCTTGTTTCCTACAGCTGATACTACCACTCTGAGTGTATCTAAAGCATGATTATCACAGAAAAATAAATTTTAGAAAAGATTTTCAAAACACATGAGAGACCCTAGACATAAATCTTGCAAAGCCAATACTTGAAACCTTTAATAAAGTTTACCTTTAAATCAGATTTACAGAGAAATGTAATAGGTATTATGCGTTCTATTTCCTGCATCTAGATATTTCCCGACGGAATGATGTGACCTGACAAAGACACATAAATAAGAAACCCGGGGCAGGCAGTATATAAACTTTTGTCGCTTCTATGAGCTATCAATATTGTCCAATGCAAACATTTTAACACAACTAGAGATTTATGTTCAACATGAAAGATAAAAAAAGTATGAAGTGATAAATAATTGTCTTGGAGTAAACGTCTATGCGCACTTATAATCAAATGTATTTTTGAATACCAAAGACTGAATACACTTTTAAAAAGTACACTTGAAGCAACTAAATACCTCTATGCTCAATAATACAAGAAAAGTAAATAAATATCTGTCAAACTTTAATGAAAAGTTAAAAAGACGGATATCTGCACGTTTTATTAATCATATTCTCAAGAAGCAACGTCTTAGGGTACAAAACGGTTGATAACATGCCACATCCTGGAAACAGGACATTAAGTGAATTCTATAAATCCATTCAACAACAAGGGATGCATCGTTTTTATTGAAACTCCTAGGATTCATAGGAATTAGAAGGTTTAAGCCTCTTGTGGAGCACACAATTCTTCTCTTTTCGCCTTCAGGGTTCCAAGTTTGGGCTTGCTTCATGATTCAGTTTGGTGATTTCTGAAATGTGTGTCCTATCCACCCCTAGTGTCTTCGTAGTTTCCTCTTCAGTTGGAAGTTAGTATGCTCTCTACCACAGTAGGTTATTGTTGTCGTTGTTGTTGTTGATGATGATCATGATTGTGTTAGTTCTCCAAGTTTCAGCTCCGTAAAATAGGATTGTTCTGACATACGTATTGAATATTCTGACCTTGGTGTTGGTTGACAGTGGCTTTGAGTTCCATCTGTTCTTCAACTGAAAAAATGCCGTGATTGTTTTGCAAACCAGTGCCCTTACATCTAAATTAGATCCTCCTTGTACACCAATGATGCTTTCTAGGTACGTGAAAGCTTCCACTCGTTTCAGAGTTTATCCATCAAATGTGATTAGGTTGGTGCTCACTGTGTTATATTTTAGGATGTTGTATCCCCCATTGTACATGTTGAGGCCTACTGCTGCAGAGGATGCTGTCACATTGTTTGTCTTCACTTGCATTTGTTGGTGTGTATGGGATAGAAGAACCAGGTCATTTACGAAGTCCTAATTGTTTAGCTTCATCCAAGGTATTCACTGTATTCCGTGCTTTCCCTCAGATGTGGCGATCATCAGTATTCAGCTAATTACCAGAAGAAAGAGGAAAGGTGAAGATGAGTAGCCTTGTCTGACATCAGTCTTCACTTTCAATATATTTGGGAGCAAGCCCTGATGCACGACTTTTCAGTGTAGTCTGTCTCATGAATTCCGTGTGATGTTGACGATCTTCGCCGGTACATTATAGTGTCGAAGATGGTTCCATAAGTTTCGCCTATCCACTCTGTTAAATGTCTGCTCGCAGTCGTGGAAGTTGATGTATAGTGATGAGTTCCATTCAACTGATTGCTCAACAATGATCCATAGTGTCACAATTCGGTCTGTGAACGACCGATCCTTACGGAATCCATTCCGTTGACGAATTTAACCCCATGTCACCCAGCTTCACAGTCAGACACATTATCACTAAGCGACTGACATCCTGTAGGACTAAGATGTATTTACAATCGGTCGATCGCTGGGTAGTGATCAGTGTCATGTGTGTCAGTTCCTTCCAAAGGAGTATCGATTCCCTTAAGATTACAGGTACCCCATGCTGACGAGTGCCAAGTAGCACGAAACATAGGTCCAGGGTTTCCTGTTGACTACCTACAATCAATATCTTATCTCAACATAGTGCACGAAATGTCGAGTCACCTAGACCAGTGGCCATATTGCAAATTGGTCAATAGGATTCGATGTGCATTGAGAAGGACCTGACACACACGACATTGATCACCACTCAGTGATAAATCAACTGTAAATAAATTCCCTATTTAGTTAAAGAGATGAATTTAGTTTTTTGTTTGCCTTTGTCTTCTTAGTTTTAGTAAGTTTGAACTATTGACCAAAGCTTACTGGATATTCAAATTAATATTAAAGTAATATATTTTAGAATTGTGGCTATTAATAGGTATTTACGAAAGTTTTAAGTAGTCCTCAACTAAAAAATTGTGATGTGAAGGGCACATGATGTCGAATGTACGGCTGAATATTTCGATTATGTTCGCGTCGCTAATACCTACACAAGTTTCTTTAATTTTCGTCGATGAAACAATGTAAATAATGTGTAATTGTTGTTAAAGGAGCTCATCGATATCCCAAGACGTTATCTTCACAAATTAGCATTACATCTACTTGCTTTTGGGTGCCTCAAATCTTTCACCTTGATGATTCTGAAACACTAGTTCCATTTTAATATACTGTCAATCTTTTCGGCTTACAGCCAATTTGCGTAAATAAATTAACCAAGGAGGTTTGGTTGAGGAAGTCTACGGTAATTTTAATACTTATGAATTTTGAAGTTGTTCTTAAGATTTTGCTGGTGAGACAACATTTTTCAATGACAAATATTTGTTATTTACAGATATTTCTTGTAAGGAGAATAAATTGCTTATTACCAAACTAGGCGATTACATTAGAATCTACTAAGTAAGCATGTAGAATACTATTATTGTGCATCTGAATTAATCAATATTATACTACTTATCCACAACCATGACTTTCTGCGTAATATGTTTCAAATGAATCTTTTATAAATGAAAGAGGTCAGGGCTGATGAAGTTACTGAAGATTATGAGGAGACTCCGGTAGTTAAAAGTCGGATCTTAGAAATAAATATCAAATAACCATCATTCTCATGGGTGACTTTAATTGCAGCATACATTTGAAGAATGAAATCCTTTTGTAAATAGTCAGTGATCTTCTAAATCAGACCAAAAGGTCGAATGTCGGTACAAAAAGGTTTCGCACTAGATTGAGTTCATCGTGTGTGGTAAGTTTAAAGTGGCCCTTATTAAGTTGTTCATTCATTGTTGGTTCAATAAATCAATAATATCGTATTTTAAGAAGTATCTCGGAGATATCAGTAAAACAGAATACTTTGAAGTGATGAAACAGAAAAATCATTGATAGTGAGGCATTACATTGATCGAGCGTTTTCACTAATTAACTGGAACTTCCTGGATTAGAGGCAGTTGAAATATATTCACATTACCAGCAAATAATTAACATACATCTAAATGCTATTTTATTAGAAAAAATATCTTGAATGACCAAAATATTTGTTAAAATATAGAGTTCCAAAAACGTAAAAAAGAACCGTTGTGTAGACCAGTGAATTCTGTAATGAGTTTAGCATTGTATCAAAGAAAATACATATGAATGTAACTGATAAATAGAGCATAAACAATATTCATTAATGATATGTTACTGATTTCATTTTCAGGTGATAATCCTCATGAAACGAAACTACACATTTTTATCTAATTAAAAATCTCAAAATGATCAGATGATTTAAATGAAAAATATGTTTTACCAGAAAATTATTTGAAATAATTTTTTTTAAAATTTCGATCTCATATCTGTTCTCATGGAGCTAGCAATAAATTAATAACGTACTTTAAGAATAGGTGGGAAAATACATGGTTAGTTTTCTAGCATACAATGTTTTCACTATTAAGTGTATATTTTAAGGCAAATAGCTAAGAAAACTCCTGGGATAAACAATGAGTTCAGTATGAAAAGGTCATCTAATTTACAAAAAAGGCATGTGTTATAACCCGACGAAAACTATAAGTGGTAGATTTTGAGAACTATTTACGAACCAATACGATGCATATATACATTGTTCAGATACACCTATGCATCATGACTCTGGAACAGTGAAGTAGGAATCTCTTCCTATTATGCTAAGTGCTACAACTTTGGAATTAGCCTCTCTTTTACACTTGAGAAGCGAACAAAGATCGAGAGTCAAAAGGGATGGTAGACCCATCAATTCCTTAAAACTGTTATAACCCGACGAGAACTATAAGTGGTAGATTTTGAGAACTATTTACGAACCAATACGATGCATGTATTTTTATTGTATAATTGTTATGTAACTAAACTATACATATTCAATTTCCTCCTATTATAAGCTTTGTCTTGACCCATAGACTATTATTATGCGATTTACTGTTCTTGAGTTATGCTCAGTCTATTAATTACAATCTCCCACATTCACAGCCACTTTTGTCTAGATCTTGTACAAATATTGTTTTCTATTTTGTGGTGAGATGTGGTCTGTTTGGTTTGTATATAAACACAGTATGTTTGAACTACATGACTCATATGTCAGAGGCTGAGATTGGTGTTTTGGACTCAACAGGCATTGCTAGGTAGGGAGACGATCCGATAGGGATTTTAGACCACTCGTACGGGTTTACGCGTCATTGGTCTGGTCGATAAGTCGCTGTCCTCTAATCATCACGTTATATATTAATCGAACACAAGTTATAACAGTATGCTTCATAAATTTATTAGTGCATCCCGTAGTATATTTCGAAAATAAGACGAATTTTTACCACCCCGTTAAGATTTAATTATTTTACTTATTTTTAATAGATTATATATGGCGTGCCTTATGGAAGAAATGAACTATCTGAACAAATCAGTTACACAAGAAAGAATAGCGTTATTATTTGGTTCAGTCAATACTGAATTACAAGCTACAAAAACTACAAAACCACAGAGAAACCTGCTGATATGTTCACTTCTCAGTAATGTCGACGTAGTATGTAAGGAATTCTCAAGCAACCTAACAAATTATTAAACGGTTTAAAATTGAATTCAATGATTATTATTATTATTTTTGACGAAAATGATGATTACGAATGCGAGTCCCAATCAAATTTGGATCCCTTGTAAGAAGTATAATTAAACATATATATGTATTACAAAATATTTGTTGAATTCATCCTCAAAATTTCCTACACTATTTCCAATATTTTATACTACCATATTTTAGTACGTTTTACTCAGTGTTCACAGTCAATGGAAAAAAATCGG